CACCCATGGAAGCAGCCATCAGGAAATTAGATGACGTATTGCATTGGGCAGACCTGCTGCAGAAGACCTCTTTCAAGTGTTGAAGAGCAAAGATACCACTTTGAAGACTAAGGTGTGCCTGACCCAAGCCATGGTGTTTTCAGTCATCTTATATGCGTGTGAGAGCTAGACAATGGATAAGGAAGACTGAAGAAGAGGTGATGCTTTTGAGTTGTGTTGGCGAAGAATGCTGAGAGTACCATGGGCTGCCAGAAGAAGGAACAGATCAAATCTGGCTGCAAAAAGTGCAGCTGGGATGCTTCCTGAAAGCAAGAATGACTTCATCTCACCTACTTTGGTCATGCTGTCAGATGGGCCCATTCCCTGGGGAAGGATGTCACGCTTGGTAAAGTGGAGGGTCAGTGACAAAGGGGACGGCCTTCAGCCAGATGGCCTGACACAGGGCCGCAGCGGTGGGCTCAGGCCCAGCCAGGGTCGTGAGGATGGCACACGGCCAATAGCATTTGCTGCTGTGTGTGGGGTCGCTGCGAGTCGGAGCTGACGTGATGGCATCTAACAGCAACAGCATAACATACAGCAACAACAAATAATAATTTTGGGGTGTTATATAGCCTCTGGCTCCAAAAAGTCTGGATTCCGTGAGGTTTTGAGACTCTGTTCTGCATTTGTCCCCTTTTGACCAGGATTCTTCTGTGGAATCCTTGATCTAAATGTTCAGTATTGGTAGCCAGGTACCATTCAATTCTTCTGACGTCTTGTTGAAGGAGGCCATTGTTCACGTAGGTGGGTCAGTACGTGCTGCACTTCCTCCATGATGGTTCACTCTCCCATTCCCTTGGTTCTCCCAGTGAATAGTGATCCACTGTTGCACCTTGGATGGCTGCTTGCAAGCTTTTAAGTCCCTCAGCAACTATGCAGTGAACTGGAAGGTGCAACAGAAGCGTCAGGATCCATGGTAGGCCAGGTGACTTCATGTCCCAGCAGCAAACCAGTGCCCTTCACTTCTGAACCAAGAAAACATACCTCATCAGGTGATTGGCTGTACATGGCAATATCAGCAGCTGGGTTTTTTTAGAAATATATGTATCTCACCTTTTGCCACTTCAACCTTCTTATTAAGTTGGTGTGACATCAAGTCAACTCCGAGTTATTGCAGCCCTGTACAAATACAGAGTGGAACTGCCCCGTAGGATTTCCTAAGCTGTAATCTTTACAGGAGCAGATCAGCAGATCACTGAGCATTTAGTTAGCGTGCCTCTCGGCTGCCCCTGTCAGCGTGCAGCTTGGTGACTCCAGTTACGTTAATCGTGGTACATAGTCATCACCGGTAATTGATGTCAGGTTTTCCACCATCATAAATAGAGATGTACTGCTTCCCAGTGATGCCTGTCTCCCTCTCCCGCCCACCCCTTGTAACCACCAATGAACTGTGATCTCTATACCAAGATTTAAAAAAAAAAACCACCATTACCACCACCATCGAGTCATAGTGACCCTATAGGATAGAGTAAAGCTGTCCCATCATGTTCCCAAGGCTCAATCTTAAGGAACCAGACTGCCTCATCTTTCTCCAGTAGAGTGGCTGGTGGATTCCAACCATGGAGCTATTGGTTATAGCTGAACACCTTAACCACTGCGCCACTAGAGCTCCTGTTTTGCCGAGGTCCAGCCTCAGCTGTGGGTCTTTGGAGGGAGAGGTGGTGTCGGCGAGATGAAGGAGACACACTCACACAAGATGAAGATGTGCCCCACATAATGAGGTGCCTTCTTTATTTTATACTGTGTTGCAGATTACATGAGATAATGACAAAGCCAAATGACACACCCACAATTCCGGGTACATTCTTGAATCAGTTCATGGCTGTGTGCTATTAACTTTACAATAACAACTATGTTTATCACACTTTATGACGGTGGGCTATTAACTTTACAGTAACAACTAAGTTTATCACACTTTATGAATGTGGGCTTTTAACTTTACAATAACAATTACATTTATCACACTTTATGAATTACTTGTGTTCCTGTTTACTGGGAACATCCCAGAACATTGCCTTAATCTAGAACATCTTATTTCCAAGTAAATACAAGTTTAATCCTGTTATAATTAACTATATCCAAAACTTATAAAACTATTATTGAACTTAGAAAATAGACTTACGTCTTATTTTATCTATCTGTCATTAACATTATATGAATAAAATGTGCTAGACAATGGGGTTAAATAAGGCATGAGAAAATGGTCAGGGTGAAGAATACAACTTGGGGCCAGAACGTGTGACTCAACCTTGTGGTTGGCACCATTCTCTGAATTACCACCAGCCTGGGGGTGCAGATAGGTCTACATAGTCCATCAACATTTACTTGTGGCCTTTTGATTTCTTAAAGTAACTATTCCATTGCTTGATTAGAGTATTTCTCTGTGCAGTAGTTTTACACCTAGGCCCTGATCATTTTAATCTCTCTAAGAAAGGGAGTTAAAAGGAAC